CTTGCACACTCTTGAAAAGGCATCACCCGAACGTGAATATCACCGGTACCAAAAGAAAAAAGACTGAAGTGCAAACCCAACTCCCACTAGCATTTAAGCCTCCACCACTCGCAGAGAGTTCAGACCGAGCCAAAGCTATTACAAATGCCAAATATCCTTATGTTGCCATGTTAGCAAAGCGCTACCTGGCTGTTTCTGCTACCTCTGTCCCTAGCGAGAGGGTGTTCTCCACAGCAGGAGACATTGTTAGTGCCAGCAGATCTGCCCTTTCGGCAAGCAATGTGGACAAGTTCATTTTTCTTTAAAAAAACATGAAAATACAATGACAAGCAAGTCCTAATGTCAAACTGGCTGCTTAGGTACTAGTACAGTACAGTTCAAATACAGATTATTTCAGTTCATCGAAATGCTGCACCTTAATGTTCATTTTATTATATTTTGTATTTGAGTGAATATTCACAGTTTAATAATAATTAAAAACCCAAAACTAATAGTTTATGTTTTGTGAGTACTAGTACAGTAAAGTTCAAATACAGATTATTTCAGTTCATGGAAATGCTGCACCTTAATGTTTATTTTATTATATTTTGTATTTATTTGAGTGAATACATTATTCACAGTTTAATAATAATAATAAAAAAATATATATATATGTTTTGTTTTGTGAAAAAAAATTCTGCTGTACCGAAAACGTACCGAACCGAACCGTGACCAAAAAACCGAGGTACGTACCGAACCGAAATGTTTGTGAACCGTTACACCCCTAATATATATATATATATATAATAGCAATAGAAAATCGTTACCACTCTTATTATTGTGGTCTTTAATTTTGTTAGAGTCCTGCCTGAGTTTCTTTATTTTTACCCGGCATCCGTGTGCACTGTGCACGATTCCCAGCTCAAGTAGCTTTTGCGAACATCGCTCAAAACATTTGGAGTTGGGAACTGCTTTCTGTAGAAGCTGCTGCATCCCATCCTCAGAGTAAATTGCCAGAAGCGCCGACACTTCCTCATCATTCCACCGCTCCGGTGTTGTAGTAGCCTACGTGTGGTCATAACTGCTTTAAAGTACAAAAAAACTACTCGCTCAGGTGTGGATGTGGTTTTGTAACGAGGAAAAAAATGGCTGCCTAACAAAAAAAATTCAGTCTAACGGGGCGTGGTTTGCAATTCGCCCAGCCAATAGAAATAGAATAGAAATTGGCACTCTTTTATCACCAGGTTCGTACCACCTCTCTAGCAGGGACTGAAAATGGCCAAAAGAGTTCCCGGCACTGAGTAGTCCCGGCGGTGTGAACTCGACATTATTGGTACTAACGGAACTAAAGAACCAAAGTACCAGGGAAAGTCCTGCGGTGTGAATGTGGCTATTGTGCTTGGTTGGCCTGGGCCTGGTGGTGGGGCCCAATGTGATATATTTTCATGGTAGGGGTGTAACGGTACACGTACCGAAATTATTCGGTACGGGCCCTTCGGTTCGGTACAGGTGTGTACCGAAGTGTACCGAACGAATATAACGTTAAACGTAAAAAATTGAGAACGTGAATAACTTTTTGGAAGTAATCTCAGGTGCTGCGTCGCAGCATTCAGAGTAATTTGCTCACATTGGGTTCAACGCGTCATAGAGCGAGCAAGTCATTTCATTGGATGAGAGGCATACTATGAGAGCTGGTCAGAGGGATGCGTTCAAATGTAGTCAGTAATTTGAGGAACTGTCAAAAATGTATGGCGAACGCAGATAAAGTTGAGCTCGAAAATCCTCCAGCATCATTGAAGTCTCCGGTTTGGGAACATTTTGGTTTTGCAGTTACGTACAAGGATGACGGACAAAGACAGGTGGACCGAACCAAAGCTGTTTGTCGGCATTGTTCAACTAAAATTGGTTACGCGGCTGGCAATACATCAAACTTGCACACTCTTTTGAAAAGGCATCACCCGAACGTGAATATCACCGGTACCAAAAGAAAAAAGACTGAAGTGCAAACCCAACTCCCACTAGCATTTAAGCCTCCACCACTCGCAAAGAGTTCAGACCGAGCCAAAGCTATTACAAACGCCAACTATCCTTATGTTGCAATGTTAGCAAAGCGCTACCTGGCTGTATCTGCTACCTCTGTCCCTAGAGAGGATGTTCTCCACAGCAGGAGACATTGTTAGTGCCAGCAGATCTGCCCTTTTGGCAAGCAATGTGGACAAGTTAATTTTTCTTTAAAAAAACATGAAAATACAATGACAAGCAAGTCCTAATGTCAAACTGGCTGCTTAGGAACTAGTACAGTACAGTTCAAATACAGATTATTTCAGTTCATCGAAATGCTGCACCTTAATGTTCATTTTATTATATTTTGTATTTATTTGAGTGAATATTCACAGTTTAATAATAATTAAAAAACCCAAACTAATAGTTTATGTTTTGTGAGTACTAGTACAGTAAAGTTCAAATACAGATTATTTCAGTTCATCGAAATGCTGCACCTTAATGTTTATTTTATTATATTTTGTATTTATTTGAGTGAATACATTATTCACAGTTAAATAATAATAATAAAAAAATATATATATATGTTTTGTTTTGTGAAAAAAAATTCTGCTGTACCGAAAACGTACCGAACCGAACCGTGACCAAAAAACCGAGGTACGTACCGAACCGAAATGTTTGTGAACCGTTACACCCCTATTTCATGGGGCCCAAAATCCCCTGCTTACAATAAAGGATAGGGATGTCCCGATCACCTTTTTTGCTCCCGATCCGATTCCGATCATTTGATTTTGACAATCTGCAGATACCGATTTTTCCCGATCCGATCTTTATGCAATGCATTAAGAGAAAAAAAAGGAAAAAAGCATTGAAGTTGTCCCTTAAAGAGCCTGTGACAGCATCCCAATAACTGTTGTGCAATGAAATATTGGGCTACTAGTAATCTCGAACCGTCAGTTTAAAAAAGAAAAAGCGATACCGTTCCGTTAAATATCAATAATTTCGAACATCGCGGGGAAATTCCTTCGACTCATTTTGAAGTTTTGGGGGAAGCCGGAAGTGACGTCAATGCGGGAACGCTTCACTGTGCGGCGAGAGAGCCAAACACGGACAAAGTGTGTTGTCATGCGTAGAAATGGTGAATTACTGAGTTTAGGCCCGTTAATACGTTATTACCTGAGCAAGTTAGATGCTGCGTATCACAGTGCACTGAGATTTTTGACAAATTGTAAAGCACTTACGCATCACTGTACCCTGTATACCAAGGCGGTTATGCCATCACTTACTGTACGGAGGCTCAGTCACTGGTACTTTTTCATTTACAAAGCCATGTTGGATAAACTACCATCTTATATCTGCTCCCTGATCTCTCGGCGAATTGAAAGTACTTATTGCCTGAGATCGCATGCTGTGGTTTTATTAAATGTGCCAAGTGCTAGGACTGTCTTAGGGAAGAAAGCTTTTAGATGTGCAGCTCCACTAACATGGAACAGTCTGCAAAAAGAATGGAAAATTACCAAGCTAGTACCACTACATGTTTTTAAAGCTCGGTTGGATGCTACAAAATCAGATGCTGTTGGTACCTGTACTTGTGGTTACATATGTAAATTGTAATCCCTGTACATTTTGCTGTATGATGTCCTTTTGTTGTTCTGTTGTTTATGTCTTCTTGTGGAACCTACTGCTGCAGGTCTCCCTTGAAAAAGAGATCATTGATCTCAATGGGATTTTACCTGGATAAATAAAGGTTTTTGAATTGAATTGAATAACGTTGTAATGAAGTTGACTACAGTATATTCATATTTGTCAGTGCTTTCATGTCAATTCGGTGAACATAAACATAAATGATCGTGGTGAAGATGATGATTACATTAGGATTAAAAATCGGTAGTGAGAGCTACTGAATTTCCTCCCGTAGGATGTGATATAAAAACAAATCGATTACTTTTGTAGTTGTAAACTCAAGTGGATGAAACTACATTTATTAGTGCTTTCATGTCAATTCGTCGAACATATGATACATTAAATGATCGTGAGAATGATGATTAAAAATCGTTTGTTTGTGCCGGTCTGCATTTCCTGATGAGAAAACAAACCGATGCTTTTTGTAGTTGTAGTACACCAACATGGATTAAACGTGTGGTTTTTTTACCACAATGTTGGGGAAATGAATGGATAAAATGCACGGATTATTATTATTATTATTCCCACTCCGATCGGGACACTAGGTCCACCGTTTCCCCGCAGCGAGGCTCCCCCCGTTGACAGTTTACGTGGGCTGGGTGCAGTGGCGGACTGGCCATCGGGACGAATCCCGATTATTATTATTAGTAGAAGTAGTTTATTTGCATTCATTATATTTTAATCTTTTTGAGGCTAGTATTTGGCAGGAAATGCAGACGTATTCACCTGTAAACGCATACTGAACGACATACATGCACATTTACCATTTACCTCACCGTATACAAAAGTAACTGTGTTGATAATAATAATAAACAGGAATTATATTTGCAAAGCAGCCTACTTTGTTTCCAAAAAAAATGTTTTCACTCCTGTCGGTTGGGGGGGGGGGGGCCTCATCTCACAATGTCACTTTGGATTGAAGAAGAATATTAAGTTTCATTAAAACCTTCAGAATTGTAGTTAAGGACTACTTTTGTATGTTCTTTGGACATTACCATGCTCTGGCAGTTGCTGGAATCTAAGTCTATTATATAGAAAATACAATTATTATTATTATCATACAAGTGTAGCCTTAACCTTTGTGTCCCACCTTGACTGAAATAAAGAGCAGTTCTGCTTATGTAATATAAAATAAAAATAAATGTAAGTAACATGATATCAGACTAAAGGAGTTTTACGGAAACACCTCCACTATTCAATTTCCTTTTTAACCAGTGTATTTATAATAACCTTTAGAGCAACTATTAAAATGTACAATTTAAATAAACTTAGGACGGTAAATATTTTAACAATGTGGCATGTATAAAGTTCTGCATTATTTTTGTACTTAGTGTTACCTTTGGTAGGTTTCCATCTTGTCTTCTGTATCCATGGACAAGGACCTTTTGAGACAAGAACAGGGTTAGAAACACCGTCACATATCAGAATCAACTTTATTGCCAGGTGCGTTTTCACATACTAGGAATTTGCTTTGGTACCTGGTGGTGCGAACATAAACAATCTAAAAAAATAAGTTGCAAAGTAGATAGAAAAAAAGAAATATATAAGGATAATAAAAAATAAGTATTTTAAAGAAACAATTTATCATTAAAAAGGGATGCTAAAGAGAAGTATTTATACCAAATTTACCATACAAATAACCTTAAAAGCTAAAAAGCAAAAACACTTAGGACAATCAGTATATATGGCAAACTACAGTGTATGATATTTTAAAGAATACTGTAGACACACCTGTAATTTATATATTATCATATGTATATGTCTCCTGTAGTGTAAATATATGTCTGTTGCTGCAGTTTTTTGGTCTTTTGTAGAAGAATTTTAGTTTATCTGGAATATTGTGTATTTTTTGTAATATATGACTTTTCTACTGTAGAAATGTATATATTAGCTGTTTATTTTTATATGTATATACTTTATTCCACCTTTTAAATTATATTCATATCTGAACACACTGCTGCTATAACGCAAGAATGTTCCTATTTGGGATCAATAAAGTATTTTCTATCAAATCCAAACAACAGCTGTAGTGGTGGAGAACTTGCTTCCTTTAAAATAATGGCCTCCATAATAATCTTGTAAGTCCTTTACTCTCATTTCTACTGAAGTTAAAGTCCTATCAGTAAACTCAGTATGAAGTGGGTTAAAGCAAAGGAGTGTTATCAGCTTTAGGTAGTCAAAGTTTAAGCAGTATAAGACGTACAGGGGTATTAAAAGCTTCGTGTAGTAGTATCAGCAGTAAAGGTACAGGAGCAGTACCAGTTTTACGTAGTCAAAGTTTAAACAGTATACTATAAGTACAGGAGTATTGACAGCTCCATGTAATTAAAGTAACAGCAGTAGTGACATGAGTATTATCAGCTTTATGCGGTTGAAATATCAGCAGCAAGTTCTGCCAACGTATATCTCATTATACACGTTAGTTTGTAGTTTTTCTAGTCTTTGTGATGTTTTCTGACGATCAAAATAATTCAAACACACCTTCCGTTCCATATTATCATCGTCATGCAGTATACCTATCGTTACAGTAAAAGTGGAGTTAAAGCAGTTTTTGACCGAGGTATTTCTCCCCCTCCTAATGAAGACATTTTGAATGTAGGACTTTAGTATTCAAGACTATATCATGTGATTAATTACGGTTCATTTACCGGTGTATATCACATAGCATACCTTATTTTGAAGCTGTCCTAGTGTTTTATCTGTGTTTTCTGACGAAAAAAATAATGGAATCTCATCGTTAGCATAAAAGTGGCTAGACTTTGAGTAATGTTAACCTGTGTGGCGTTAGCACTGCTAACGTAAGTATGCCATCCGGGACACCGACGTTAACGTTAGCTTTACTCACTTTTCTAGTTTCTTGGAAATCTCCTCAACTTCGCCGTTGTGTTGAGAGTTATCCATCCTGTGTGTTAGCTTGTCCACGATTAACAAACACAATTCTGGAATTTTTCGGTAGAAGAACCCCACAGACACACCGACAGCTGCTGCTGAGAGGAGTTGTGTGTTGTTGTGTTTGAAACGCAGCTAACCTCCCCGCCAAATAGTTTTTCTTCTTCTCTCGGTTTTTGGCAGATTGCAAACAACTTTAAGGTGCATACCGCCACCGTACATGAGTGTGAATCATCATATCATTCCATCTCTTAACTCATGGACGTATATATCTATGATCTAATCAAAACAATTAAAATAAACAAAAAACATAAAACATAAAATAAAAAATAAATAAACAAAACAACAATCTATGATCTGTTCTAACCTAATGTTAAATTATTTGTCCTACCCCAGTTTCACTCAGAAAGGTAAACAGTGCCTTTCTGGTAGCTCTTACTCCCTCTCCTTGTGTTCCCAGAATACTAACCAACCACATTCCATTCCCTCTCTGCCTCCATAACTTTATCCTTTAGTTTTTCTCTTTCAGCTTTATAGATGTCACAATGTAACAAGATATGTTCTACCTTTTCTTTAACCTGTTAAGCCCCAAAGCCCACCTCGGCGGGGGCTTTTTTTTTCATGACAGGCTTGGAATTTCGTCATCTTAGGGGCAAGGCCATTTGGCCTTTGGTGTCACACACTTTTTCAAGGCGCAAAGGCCACATGCCAGGGCACAAAGGCCATTGACATTTGGATTTGGAGCTTACAAATAAATAACTTCACTTTTTGATAAGAAAAACACACGAATGACATGGAAAACAAATCACTTTTTTTAATATCAATAATGTCAAACATTATATCATATAGGCCTATGCCTCCTTAGTATTACCGTATATAAAATAAAATACTTTACTTTTAATAATTAGTGTTTGGTTTGTTTTCCATCTACTACTTCTCCCATTCACAAATCAAAAATCAAATCAAAAAATCTCAAATTCTATTAATATGTAACAAATATATTCAATTTCAGAGCAGAAGAAACAGCCTTCAAGGGTCAAACTCTGCACATACATCATTCAGCAGTGTGTGTGTGTGTGTGTGTGTGTGTGTACGAGTCTCTTTAATCAACTCCTCACAGCTCTGTTCAGAAACTGGACAAAAGTTAAACATGTACAAACCACAGACTGTCATGGAGAATACAATCGCTGCTTTAATTCTGTCTTTATACGTTGTTATGAGTTAGGACGGAGCAGCTACAGGTTAGTTTAGCCCGATTGTGTTACGAACTCAGACACTTAGGATGTAGGACCCAATTGCACAACCCGGGAGACAGAGGTAAAGTATTTGTAATATACTTGATTTTTCCAAAATACAGCAATAACAACACAAAAGGTCACTATCAAATCTCAAGTTTGAGATGACAAAAATAGAGAACCAAATGAAAGCGCTCACGTAGTGAGGAACAAAAACTTTTCCAGAGCACAGAGAGCATAGACCTGACCATGGCAAGAGACAAGACGAACTGACGAGGAACACTGGGACATTTAACCACATGACAATGAGAAACAGGTGTGAACAATCAGGGGCAGGACTGACGCTGATGAGCACAGGAGACACAGAAGGATGCCAGGTGAAAACAATCAGGAAGCCTGGAATGAGAGATAACTGGTGAGTGAGAAAACAAACATAAAACAACATGAACCTGAACCTCTCTAACATTTCTGTCGGTGCTCCACAGTACCCCCCCCTCCCCCTCTAGGGCCGACTCCTGATGGCCCAGGCTGATTGTAAAAGTCGTGGATAAGAGTCTTGTCTACGATAAATGAAGCAGCTACCCAGCTCCTAACCTCAGGACCGTAACCCTTCCAGTCTACCAGGAATTGCTTCCCCCTCCCCCTATTACGGACCTTCAGTAGCTTACGGACCTTGTAAACCTCACCCCCTTCAAAGAACTGGGGTGGTGGAGGGGCTTGGAGGCGGGAACAAGTGTGCTCTCACACACTGGCTTGATTTTACTGACGTGAAACGTCGGATGAACTCTCATATTCCTGGGGAGTTGCAAGCGTACAGACACCGGGTTGATGACTCTGGACACCGGAAAAGGACCCACAAATCTCGGAGCCAGTTTCTTTGAGGCGACATGGAGTGGTAAGTCCTTAGTGGAAAGCCAAACCTTTTGGCCTGGTGTGTATGAGGGAGCGACCCTGCGATGGACGTCTGCAACAGCCTTCATACGAGCTGAACTTCGGAGAAGAGACTGGCGAGCACCAGCCCAAACTCGGCGACAACGTCTGATCATGGCATGAGCCGATGGAACCATCACCTCTTCCTCGTGGTTAGGGAAAAGCAGAGGCTGGAAACCATTGACACAATGGAATGGAGAGAGACCTGTGGCTGCCGTAGGAAGAGTATTGTGGGCAAACTCGACCCATGTGAGGTGGTCACTCCAGGTGGTCTGGTTCCGGGAGACGAGACAACGTAGCGTAGTCTCTAGTTCCTGGTTCAGACGTTCCGACTGTCTATTTGACTGAGGGTGATATCCTGATGACAAGCTGACTGTGGCACCTATGAGTCGACAAAACTCCTTCCAGAAACCGGAAATGAATTGTGGACCCCTGTTGGAAACAATGTCATCAGGGAATCCATGGATCCTGAATACGTGATTCATCATGACCCATGTGGTGCCTTTGGCAGCGGGAAGCTTGGTCAATGGGATGAAGTGAGCCATCTTTGAAAATCGATCCACCACTGTTAGAACCGTAGTCTTGCCTCTGGATGAAGGAAATCATGTCACAAAATCCATAGAAATGTGTGACCAAGGACGTTGGGGAATCGGCAGCGGCTGGAGCAAGCCCATCTTGACTTGAGACGAGGTCTTATTACACGCACACACCGGACAAGCCGCTACATACTCCGCCACATCCTTCCTCATGGCTGGCCACCAGAAACGTTGTTGAATCCTGAACATTGTCCTTGTTACTCCCGGATAGCACGAAATCACAGATGAGTGAGCCCAGTGGATGACCTTGGAGCAAAGAGCCTCAGGAACAAACAGCAGATTGTTGGGACGCTTGCTAGGTGATATTCGCCTTTTTAACGTCCGACTCCACTTGCCAGGAAAAGGCTCCGATCACACGATTAAGTGGAAGGATGGTCTTGGGCTCTACAGCAAGTGGTTTTGGATCGTAAAGACGAGACAAAGCATCAGGTTTTTGATTCTGAGACCCGGGACGAAAAGAGAGTGTGAAGTTGAACCTACTAAAGAATAGTGTCCACCTGGCCTGACGGGAGTTGAGACGATTAGCCTTTCTTATATATTCCAGATTTTTGTGATCTGTCCAGACTAAAATCGGCTGCTCTGCCCCCTCTAGCCAGTGTCTCCATTCCTCGAGGGCAGCTTTTACAGCTAACAGTTCCTTGTTTCCCACGTCATAATTCCGCTCTGCTGTTGTCAACTTCCGTGACAGGTAAGCACATGGATGCATCTTGTTGTCTTCTACAGATCGTTAAGACAGTACTCCTCCAATTCCCTCATTGGAAGCATCAACCTCGACCATAAACTGGCGCTGGGGATCTGGAATGGTGAGTATGGGAGCTGATGTGAATCTCTCTCTGAGGCGTTGGAAAGCAATGTCCGCCTGGGGAGTCCACTTGAAAGGGACCTTAGGAGAAGTCAGAACATGCAGAGGGGCAGCAACAGAACTGAAATTCCTAATAAACTTCCTATAGAAGTTAGCAAATCCTAGAAACTGCTGAACCTTCTTCCTGGAGTCTGGTGTGGGCCACTGGGATACTGTACTGATTTTAGCAGGACCAATTTGCATATGATTAGGTGAGATTACGTATCCTAAGAAAGACACCTCTTCTGTGTGGAACTCACATTTCTCTGCCTTGACATATAGCTGGTTCTCAAGCAGTTTCTGCAAAACCTGGCGGACATGGTTAACATGAGATCTAGCGTCTGGGGAGAAAATCAGAATATCATCCAGATACACAAACACTGAAATATTCCAAAATTCCCGCAAAACCTCATTCACAAAAGCTTGAAACACAGCCGGTGCATTGCATAGTCCAAAAGGCATTACTAGCAGTGTGCGAAATACGGGGGGGTCCGGGGGAGCTCGACCCCCCCGATTAACACCTGAGCCCCCCTGAAAGCCTCAACAGCAAAATGTAGGGGGGGGGGGTCTGAAATTATAATATGTATTTGTCACTTGCAATGGTCACTAAAATGTTTTTAAGCTTACTATGTCCAGTATTCATAATTCAAAACATTTATTCACAAATATCTTCTATTTTGGCTGTCAAAAAGAGCCAGCCGCCGTGATGCGGGTACGCTGCGTGACGCGGACACAAATTATGCAAATTAGCCACGCGTGGCAAAGAGGAGAGAAAGACGTTACATTAGAGAGGACTACAATGTCTAAGAGAAAGCTAAACCAAAGTGTTTCACTCGCGCACTTTGGGTTCACATCCAAAAAAGGGACACCACGAGATGACCAAGAGACACCCAGAGATGATGCTGATGATGCAGCTAGCACAGCACTCGCTACCAGAACCGTTAGCGAGTCGAGGGCTCCTGTCCCGCCCAGTCACTCCCCAGAAGGAGGTGAAGTTGAGGCAGAGCGCTCAGAAGACGCAGCAGTTGCGGAGGTAGCTGCTACTGCTAGTGACTTTCCGCTGGCTGGTTGGACAACGAAGCAGGTGGGCGAATGGAAAGACCGCAACCCCTGGCTTGACATTAAGGCTGGAAAGTTAGGATGCTTAGTGTGTCGGAAAGCAAAAACGGGTAACACTTCACAATAAGGTACACAAAATGTGCTTAGTTACTGAGGAACTACTAGATAGTTAATGGTTAGTTAATGAGTAGTTCCTCAGTGACTGCGATTGAGGAACTGATGGTTAGTTACTGGTAAACAGACTGGGGGTACTGTATTAACGAATCATTCGTTAATGGTTAGTTAATGAGTAGTTCCTCAGTGAACTTATGGTTAGTTACTGGTAAACAGACTGGGGGGTACTGTATTAACGAATCATTCGTTAATGGTTACTTAATGAGTAATTCCTCAGTGACTGCGATGGATGGTTAGTTAGTTACTGGTAAACAGACTGGGGTACTGTATTAATGAATCATTCGTTAATGGTTACTTAATGAGGAGTTCCTGGGAGACTTTGATTGAA